AGCGAACGTGTTTCCAAACATGATTTATGGCTGAGCTGCTTTTGCTTCCACTGATGCTGCTGCTGCGGCTGCTGCTATTCCAGTAGATTTTTCTTAGAGCATTGTTTGCCATTGACCAGCTGCCTGGGTCTTATGTATTGGGTCTCGTGTGCCTTGCGTCTTATGTCTTGGAACTGGTTTCTCCCGATCTGCTACGCTTTTGTCTCATTTTTATGGCGTGTTATGATTTCGTATTACAATTAGCTAGACAAAAGGCACGCTGCCTAGTTCTATGCTTAAAGAGCCGAGGCCGCATTGTCTATAAATTTTGTTATTTTGCAGCCGCATTAAACTTGTCACAATTGTGCAGTTAAGTAGACATTAGAATGTGCTCCGAAATGTGAGCTCTTCATTAGCCGGCTGCCAGGCTCTCTACTTTTTGGCCATAATCATAAAAGTCAGGCGAACATGAATCGCTGTGGCATGCAACGCCTCCCGGCAGCACTTAAGACAAATAACTTACACACCTATCGACAGGCCCAATGGCCGGGGGCGTGCGCGTCTGCGCTCTTCGTTTAGCTTGACGCATTTTCAATTAGTTTTAAATCAGAACTAATTGAATTCATTTTTAGCCTCCACATCGCATCCCATCTATGCAATCTTATCTTAACAGTTATGATGGTCTGCATGGCAAGCCGGTRCAGCTAGCYAGTGTTTTGGCATTCTATGCCGAAAATTTATTGACAAAAATTTGCAACACAGATTGCATAGGGAGTCCACCAGGAAGCTGCATGACCAGTAGCTTGGCGCGTAGGTAAGAGGCAGCCAGCAGTCAGAACCTGCCATCGGCACATGTGAAATCTATGACCATAGCTGTGCATAATAAATGGAGCACTTGCGCACCGGCTGGAGGCTTTGGCTGCGGCGGCGTCGACTCATGCAAAGCGACAGGTAAATGGCACACAAAAAGGTTAGCAAAACTGAAACCATAGGCAGGCGAATGGCGCGCTGCAAATGGAGCGCAGTCTGGTTCAATTTGGAAGCATAGCTTCCGTGCAAACAAGTGGCGCTGTCTGCAACAACAATTCCAATAACTTAAAATGGGCAACATGCCACTACTTTCTTTTGCATAGCGAATTTGAATTTAACTGATCGTTAACCAGACAGGAGCTGACTGGTACAAAACTATATAATGAGAGAGAATGTTTACGATTAACAGAAATCTCTTATCACTAACATTAGAATTTCAATCGATATATCGATAAGTCGGGATATTCTTGCATGGCTCTATAGAGACAGATTTCGCTAGGCCAGTCTACGATTGAAGAGTACAAATACTTCACTGACGACACATGTATGCATGCAGAGAGATCATGATGTGAACATTTAAAAAATATTCCTCCAACATTTTTTAAAAGTAGCCGTACTAATTTCGTTTCTTAACATATGTTTAGAATACTCATTTCAAACATGATTGGGCATATTTCTTAACAACAGTGGCTTTTGTGACGTCATGCGCCAAAAGAGCGCAAAGCCGCATACCTTTACGTAACATCCTTCATCTGCATTCAGCTGTGCTCGTCCATTTTCTGTAATCAAAATCAATTGAAACTAATCAAGACGACCGATAGCCGCACGAAGAGAATAAAAGGTGGAAAGCTATCTGGTAATTGGACCTAAGCTTCACCAGTCGTAAAAGGTAAGCGATARTTATAGATAATGTGAAAACTGATAAGCGACAAGCGCTTGCCGGTACAAACAGCACTGACATTAACATTGATTTGTTGCCAAAAGCAGGTAAAAACCAAAGAAACATGTTCCGAAGGCTTAGTTCTTTGAAGGTCAGCAGAATGCGTGGTTTCTCCGCGCTGGTGCAGACCAAAGCGCTGGTAAATGGAAATTGGATCGATTCGAGCAGCAGACAAACTTTTGAGGTGAAAAATCCAGCCACTGGTGAGGTGATTGGCAATGTGCCCGACATGACAGTGGAGGATGCACAGCAGGCCATTGATGCCGCCAAGCAAGCGTATGAGTCCAAGGAGTGGCGTGCACTAACCGCCAAGGATCGGTCTAATATGCTCAAAGTAAAATAAATTGAAAATGGTACGCCATGAGTTATGTATTAAATACCTCTTATCTCTTGCAGAAATGGCACGGCCTTATTGAAAAGCATGCCCAGGAAATCGCCGAAATCATGACAGCCGAGTCTGGCAAACCAATYAATGAGGCCAAAGGCGAGGTCGTCTATGGCAATGCGTTTGTCGAGTGGTTTGCCGAAGAAGCCCGTCGCATCTATGGCGAAATTGTGCCCAGTGGACAGCCAAATCGCGAGGTGATTGTGATGAAGCAGCCCATAGGCGTGGCGGCGCTAATAACACCCTGGAATTTCCCATTGGCCATGATAACACGCAAGGCAGGAGCTGCTTTGGCAGCTGGCTGCACTGTGGTCGTCAAGCCATCGGAAGATACGCCACTGACAGCGCTCGCTGTGGCCAAACTGGCCGAACAGGCGGGCATACCCAAGGGTGTGATCAATGTGGTGACCACCAAGAAGGCYGCACCAATCGGTGAAYTATTCTGCAAGAGTCCCGATGTGCGTGGCATTAGCTTCACCGGTTCTACCCAGGTGGGCAAGCTGCTCTTCCGCAATTGCGCYGAMGGGATTAAGCGTGTGTGCTTGGAGCTAGGCGGTAATGCACCGTTCATAGTCTTCGATTCGGCCAATGTGGACAAGGCAGTGGATGGCGCCATGGCATCCAAGTTCCGTAACTGCGGACAGACCTGTGTCTCGGCGAATCGCTTCTTTGTGCAGGAAGGCGTGTATGATAAGTTTGTGACAAAGCTGAAGGAACGCGTCGAAGCGCTTAAGATTGGCGATGGCAAGTGCGGCGATGTGCAAATCGGTCCGCTGATCAATAAGATGCAGTACGACAAGGTCAGCGGTTTTGTGGAGGATGCGCGCAACAAGAAGGCCAACATCATAGTTGGAGGCAAGGGCCTGCAGGAGGTGGGCGATCTCTTCTATGCACCCACAATAGTCACTGATGTGCCAACGTCGGCGCATATCTATACCGAAGAGGTCTTTGGACCCGTGGTGTCTATCATCAAATTCAAGGATGAAGCGGAGGCGGTGCAAAAGGCAAACGATACGCAACGTGGCCTRGCAGGCTATTTCTACAGCGAGAACCTGCAACAGGTGTTCCGTGTGGCCAAGCGGCTGGAGGTGGGCATGGTGGGTGTGAATGAGGGCATCATCTCTGCACCAGAAGCGCCGTTTGGCGGTGTAAAGGAGTCGGGCGTGGGACGCGAAGGATCCAGTCACGGCATCGACGACTACGTGGATATCAAGTACATATGCATGGGTAATTTAAAATATGACTAAACTTCCCATTACGCACGCGCTATAGCTTTAAAATGCAGTCTTCCACAAAAACGCTTGTATGTTGTAAATTCCAATTCAAATTATTATATAAATGTGCACAAGAAAAATAATATTAATATTAAAGTTTTAAATTTACGTTAATGCATTTTTGTCAGCATTCAGYTGTTAAATCATATCGCTCCACCGCCACATGCTTAACAGAGCTTTTATACTATTAACAGAATTCGGTATTTTCTCTTTTTAGTACCATTCGCATAGTGTGCGCATGGTCACACTTAGTCCCTACTGTCTACACAAGTGCTGTTTTGCTTCCAAGTGTAATTTTTTTGAAGCAATGTCCGATAAAATTGTAAGTAAAATGCTWATTGGAGTGATAGAAAGCAATAATTATGTTACAAGGTAGAATTGAGTATTATACAACTGTATACTCGAAGAGTAGATAGCTGACGCCATGCTGTGCTTTCTGATCGTTTCAAAACGCCGGCATATAACATTTTCGCCAACGCTCTGTTGCAGTTGCTAGAAGAAAATTTCTTATTTTATTAAAATTTTTGTATTAATTCTGCACCGGTTATGCGGGAAGTGTAGTGAATAATGGAGAATCCGTCGATGAGTACGGTCAGTGCGAATTCGTTGCCACGGTGACGCCGGACAACAGACACGACGCAGGACAGACACACAAACAAAGGTACAATGACTTGTAGATTTTGCAACCAAAGCCACGGACCGATAGAGGAGGCGCTGCGGTGTATGCATACAATCGTATATTTTTGTGGCCATGACAGTGAGAACCTTTTCTCTTTTTGGCACAGTCCTATCGCATATATTTACATTTTGTGAGCAATGCCAAAAAATACGATATTTGGTACGAATTTGTTTTCCTGTTGCAGTTAAATGCGCGGTTTCATGTCGTACAGTTCCATACACCAAGTTTAAGGCCTTTTAGGCTAATCCRAGTAGCTCAAGCTACGCTTAACAACAACAACCACAGCAGCAGCAGGCCAAGACAACAGCAAGAACACCATGGCCAGCGCTCCTTTGCTGCTCGAGCAATTCATCTACAAGAAACGAAATTTCGTTTATGCCTTTGTGCGGCATCGTCTCTTTACGTTATGTAAACAATCGGTGTGATCGATGCATTATTCTATTAAATTTATGCAGCACCTAACCAGCCTTTAAATGTGCCGCTTGAATTACAGCTTATACGCGTGCAGTCTGCGGAGGGCATCAAACGCATCGAGATCTCGCCAAAATCAAATCTAAAACAGCTTTATGACAGCGTACAAAATGTGCTCAAGGTCGATGGCTTTGGTCTTTTCCTGGAGCGGAACTTCGCCACAGAGCTACACGCAAGCGGCAGCCAGCTGGTGGGCAGCGCTCTCAAGCATGGCGACATGGTCTATCTAAAACAGATTGCGGGCACTTCATCACGCGTGAGTTTATAAATCCTATGTGCTATATTCCATATTAATATATTCTGATTTATAGCGCACGAGCACCACAGCGATTGACAATATGTCGTTCAATAGCGCTAAGTTATCCACTGATAGACTTACYAACAGCTTACGTCCATCCATTGATGTGATCGAGGATGAGGTGGATCAACAGTTGTTTAAATCGAGTGGCACCATTAAACGTGAACGCGATAGTAAGCTGTAAGTTGATTACAGCCGAAGTAAAATTATTTTATAAAAGAATCCTAATATAAATTACTTTTCTCATTTAATTTGCATAGTTGCCATCACAATGCCAATGGTCGTTGCGTTCATTGCTCTCCGTTGGAACCATATGACGAGAATTATCTGAAGGAACATAATATCAAGCACTTGTCCTTTCATTCGTACATACGCAAGCAAACTTCTGGCATGGATCACGGAAAGTATTTTGTATTCGATGACATCAATTGTCGCATCAAGCCCGGCTGTCGGGAACATCCACCATGGCCCAAAGGCATTTGTTCCAAGTGCCAGCCATCGGCTATAACACTCAACCGTCAAACCTATCGTCATGTGGACAATGTTATGTTTGAGAATACTAAAATTGTAGAGCGCTTCTTAAATTATTGGCGTACCACGGGCCATCAGCGCATGGGGTGGTTGTATGGCACCTATGAGCAGCATACGGATGTGCCACTTGGCATACGTGCCAGAGTGGCGGCAATCTATGAGCCGCCGCAGGAATCGTCTCGTGATTCAATAAACATCTGTCCAGATGAGAACGCCGATGAAGTGGATGCCGTAGCNTTTATAGCGCACGAGCACCACAGCGATTGACAATATGTCGTTCAATAGCGCTAAGTTATCCACTGATAGACTTACTAACAGCTTACGTCCATCCATTGATGTGATCGAGGATGAGGTGGATCAACAGTTGTTTAAATCGAGTGGCACCATTAAACGTGAACGCGATAGTAAGCTGTAAGTTGATTACAGCCGAAGTAAAATTATTTTATAAAAGAATCCCAATATAAATTACTTTTCTCATTTAATTTGCATAGTTGCCATCACAATGCCAATGGTCGTTGCGTTCATTGCTCTCCGTTGGAACCATATGACGAGAATTATCTGAAGGAACATAATATCAAGCACTTGTCCTTCCATTCGTACATACGCAAGCAAACTTCTGGCATGGATCACGGAAAGTATTTTGTATTCGATGACATCAATTGTCGCATCAAGCCCGGCTGTCGGGAACATCCACCATGGCCCAAAGGCATTTGTTCCAAGTGCCAGCCATCGGCTATAACACTCAACCGTCAAACCTATCGTCATGTGGACAATGTTATGTTTGAGAATACTAAAATTGTAGAGCGCTTCTTAAATTATTGGCGTACCACGGGCCATCAGCGCATGGGGTGGTTGTATGGCACCTATGAGCAGCATACGGATGTGCCACTTGGCATACGTGCCAGAGTGGCGGCAATCTATGAGCCGCCGCAGGAATCGTCTCGTGATTCAATAAACATCTGTCCAGATGAGAACGCCGATGAAGTGGATGCCGTAGCYAAAGCACTAGGACTTAAAAAGGTGAGCAATCATAAATTTCTAGGTTGCAATTTTTAACCATATTATTATTTTATTTATAGATTGGCTGGATCTTCACGGATCTAATTACTGAAGATGCTAGCGCTGGCACTGTAAAACAAATACGTGGAATTGAAACACATTTTCTGACCGCTCAGGAGTGCATTACAGCGGGTGAGCTGCAGAATCGTCATCCGAATCCATGTAAATATGCCACAAAYGGCACGTTTGGCTCTAAATTTGTCACAATTTGTGTAACTGGTGAGTTTAGCTTAATGATTATAAGTAGTTATGTATATATAAATATAAAAACATTTATATTTATACGTTGTGCGTTTGACAGGTGATCAAACCAAACAGGTGCACATGGAGGGTTACGCTGTTTCCGCTCAATGCATGGCTCTGGTTCGTGATAATTGTCTAATACCTACCAAGGATGCACCCGAACTCGGCTATGTGCGAGAATCGACTGATAAACAATATGTCCCGGACGTTTTCTATAAGGTATGTAACATATATGTACATTATATAATATAAGTAGATTGTTATCAATTGCGGTTCATTCCAAC